CCTTTTGTGGCCTGTAGTTAGTTCCTACAAAATAGTTTAATGTGTTTTTTATTATTATTATTTGTATTTATATATATATATATATATATATATATATATATATATATATATATATATATATATATATACAGTGCCTACCTTGAATAAAATAGATCGGCAGCCACATTGTGACATTCATCACAATATATAACCTAATCCAACAAAACTTTGAAGGTTATCTTGATTATGAAGCATAAAATGCAAAATATTTTTTTGTAGATTTAATACATAAAGAAACACGCTGCCTACCTTGAGTAATTACTGATTGCACAGGCCTTATATCCATCTGCACAAAAACCACATACAACACACACACACAACAACATTATATATATATATATATAACATATATATATTATATATATATACGACGAGAGATAGCAAATGAGATAGCCCATCTATTTATTTAAGCCAGTTGCTTTCATTTCAAACGTTAGGATCTGGCTGTATTTCGTCTTTTTTCAGTTTAAAATAATGACCCTTCGGTCATTATCAGTAAGAAAATATTTCAAAGAAAATGTACGTGTATCGTATAAGATGACATCATTTGTAGAACTGTTTCAAAGAGCTTGACAAATGACTTTTAAAAATTTTCATTATATATAAATATTTTATGCCTGTTTCAATGATTTTATATATACATTAAATATTTTTGTACATATGTTAAAAATTTATCTCTATGTTTATGTAGGCACATATGATTCCTGTTTAGTTCCCACTAGTGATAATGGCCGGTATTCGATCTCAGGTAAAAGTGACTATTTTTAATTGTTCGTTTTTAAAGTATATAAACAATCGTATGGTATTCACTTGTAAGTTGAGAGAAACAAAATTCTTCCCAACCCATAATATCCCTTTGTCTGGACTTTTTTTTAACATTCATCGGATCTTTTGTCTCTTATGAACTGTTGAAAATTTTAAAAAAAAATGAATATTCGTATAGAAGTCGCTCAAAAGCGGGGAACAAATGATGAAAAGAATAATTGAAAGAAAGTAAAAAGAAATACAAAAAATTTGAAGAATAGAATCGGGAAATGGAGAAAAAGGGAAGAGCGATGAAAAAAAAAGAGAATAATAAAAAAAATAACCACATAAATTAAATTAAAAATCAGGAAATTATTCGAAAAAATGAAGGATTTATCCAGAATTTTAGGATTTTGCTTCAGTATGGACGCTGATTTTTTTGTTTAATGGAGACAGCATCTTGGAGCCTATTTTTTAAAGCATATCTCCCGGTAACTTCGCTTTTATTCTTTTATTTTTTATAAAAGTAAAGAATGATTCCATCAATTTACCATGAGGGGATAATTCGTATGTAACACATTTGCTTAATACTTTATTTGTTTATAGTTTTCGAGGACTGCTTTTATTAGCACTATGACTTTGTGAAGGATTTTAAAAATATTTAGCTGCAAGGTGTTAGAAATTTTGTGGAATGTTTACTCTTTTAAAATTTAATAGTTAATAGGCGGGTTGTATGTATATGTGTGTACATATATGGATAATATACAAAACAAATGGTTCAACAAGGATAAATATAGGGTGGGCAGCCTACTCTCTAGATACCAATTTGACACCCTTATTTTTAATATTTTCTAAAGATCTTATTTGATGGAAACCACTGAAACAATTTGGGACAAAATTGTTTAAAGCTATTGACCAGGTTTATCAAATACAGAGAAATGATACTGGACACAGATTAGGTCTCTTCTTCAAAGGTATAAAATTTGATATTCTTCTTTTTCCTTTAATTTTTATTTTTAATTTTAATTGAATCATTTTTATATATATTATATTTTTCCTTAATAGCTTTTATCTTAGGCAATGTCGCAAAAATTTTTTCTAAATTTTTTGGGTAGTGAGCTCTCAGGAGTAAATTCTTCAGCTGGGATTGAGGATTCTTTCTCTTGTATTAATCTTATTTTCAGTCAAAAACATAAATTGAATAAAGTTATAACAATGGAAAGGTAGAGTGTATACATTATTTCCAGACTCCTTGTATAGCAGGACAGACCAGATTTTAGTTCTGCAAGTTTCAAACAACTCTTGCATTAAAAAAGAAAATTGGTAAAACCTATCTTGGAAAAAAATGTGATTAAAATTTCTGAGATGAAATTATTTGAAACTATTATCGTCATTTTTATTATTATCGCAACAATTGACTGACTGATGTGTCCTTCAAGGCAAATTTTGAAAACTGAAAAGGAATTCTTGACTAGAGCCCATATAAAAAGTATTAGCTGTGCATGTATTTCTATTCACTGGAAGCACCATAGCAATAACAATCTGAGTTCTGTTTCGTAATATATCAGTTATTACAAAGCCGTTTCAAAAAAGCAATTTTACCCAGCTGTATTTGAACTCATGGAAAATAAACCCTACCACCCAAACAAGCTCAATTTTGAAATATTAATTAGTAAGATTTGATTGACATAAATTGTACAGGTTCAATCCATAGAATATGGAAAGGGAACTTCCTGAAATCAGCAATTTTTAATTCGAGAGAGAAGATTTTAGAAACAAAGAAAAACGTTTTCAATTTCTTTACAATATTTATAATCCCATATGGATTCAATTTTGATAATCGTCTACTGAGGATCTAACTAGTTCTAGCCCATGAGCAGTCATGTTATTCCAATAGCATCACATATATTCAACCTAAGATGGGGTAAGAATTATTTTAGCCAAATATACGGATTCTATAATTCTAAAACAGGCCTAGCTTGACACCGATGAGAGTCAATCAGATGAAGAAGTTGGAATTTGTATTTCTCATCAATTAGCAATAGAACAAAAATATTTGTTTAAGGTACAAGGGGATGAACAGAATTAGGATCTATTTGGAATTTTTTACAAGTCATATATTGGATTGTTTAAAATCAGAATTGCCTTTAAAGATTTCATGAGATTTAATGCCCCTCAGAACATCAGGAAAACCATAGTGAACATTGGGCATATTGGAAGTACATAGGAGTAGATAGATTTTGAAAAATCATGACATTGTACACAGTCAACGTAGCATTCATTTTACAAAAAAGGTTTGGAAAAGGAATTACAGTTGAATGCTTACACAATTTGAAAACATGAAACTTATACACAGGATAGTATATATTTAAATTATCTTTTAAAATGACCTATTTAAAATGTTACCAAATTATCATAATTAAAACTACATGAATTTATTATATACATCAAACATACTTTTTGTGAACCTTCAATTTGTGTTTTTAAATTTCACAGTCCTTTTGAATTCAAGAGATATTGTATTTATAAAGTATATTTATTTATATGATATTTTTTTATCTGCAATGGGCTAATAGAAAAAATACATTTGAAATAAATTAAAAGACAATGTAAATTAAGATGCATTATATGCTGTATTATCATATTTTTATATATATAATCTATTTTAATATAAATATATAGTATTTATATAATTCATCTAAGGATCAATTAATTAATGAGTTACCAGATTTGAAAATTTATTGTTTTATACTACTGGTGTCTTGTGTGAATGTGTGTGTTTTTGTGTTGAGAAAAACACTAAAAAGAGTTGAAAGAAAAATGGCTATTTTAAAATATAACATTTTTATACAATGAATTATGTTGAATAAATCATTATATTTAGGTGACTCTGACAGGAGTTTGTAAGAATAGTATTTTCTTGAAAATATATTCCGTAAAGGGAAGTCTCATATTTATATATATTTATGTATGTATATATATATGAGTATGTATTTATGTAGAATAAGTTAAAATATAAAAAGTATCCTGCACATTTCCTAAATGTTGTTTTATTTTGACAGGAGTTTTGGATGTTTTATTTCAGCTTATTCATCTGGTGATAGTTAGATCAATCCTTTTTGATTGTAAGGACTTTTTTATTTGTTATCAGAAAGGAAATTCCCTAATCATTCCATTTTTCTAATAATTTTCAAATGATTAAATTCTAGGAATTTCATTATTTTTTGTTTCTAAGAGTTCTAAAAAAAGAAAAAGTTGAATATTGGAATCATTAAAATGCATAAATATAAATAAACAACACATTGTTATCATTGTTCTAAAATAATCACACACATATATAATATAAATGATATTACATGAAATCATTAATTCATTTCAAAATTGAATTATGTTAAAACAGTTTTTATCTTTATTTTATTCTCTTGCGATCTCAACAAAAATGAGATGTTCTGAATTTAGTGATAACTCCTCATCTCAGAAATTTAAATAGAACCCTAAAGTTGTTCTTTTCTTTTATGTGGTTGTAATTTACAAAGAAACAAACATGGTTCTATTTAGAAACTTTAATTGTTTCTTATTGTCAATTTTGTATTTGGAAGGGGTTATGTTGATAGAATGCTCTGTTTTTTAAAATTTATTTAATTAGATGAACTTTGGGCTGACAAAAAAAAAAAAAAAATGCATAGTGTACTAATATAAAAGAGAATTTGATAGTTTCCCCTCAGGGTTAGTGGCAGTACATGAATTAATATATTTATGATTTCCTTGCAGTCAATTTACACATGCATTGATGCTAAATCAGAATGCTCTTTCTTGATTGGAACTGTTAGCAAAACAGACAAGAAAGAAAACTCTGTTCTATAGATGAGCATTTGTCATGAGTCGTGTTGATAAACAATAGTTTCTCTCTTGAAAAAAATTAAAAAAAGTCTCTGAGGACTCTGGAGATTCATAGGAACCATTCAGATTTTGAACTTTAAATAAAATACGTTCTTTGCCCTGAAATTAGAATTATACCTTCTCAAAACATTTTAACTTTAAAATAAATATTTATATATATATATATATATATATATATATGGGAAAAAAATATAGCATGATCATTAATAAAGCATTTGGTTTTAACAAATTAAAGCTAACTATAATTACTAAATTCATGACAATTTCAAAAGCAGATTATTTATCTTTTAAGTCATGTTAATAGCATTAGTACTTACCAAATCTTCCAGGTGGGACCTCTTTCACCTTTCTCTCCTGGAGTACCATCACTGCAATAGCCACAATTATCACCTTTGTGACCTGCAAAAGTTTCATTTTAAAAGATTCTCAGGCAAAAATTGATACACAAAATATTTATTAAAAAAAGTAAAATTTCTAGTAAAATTATCCTTTTTACAATCTTATAATTTTACTTCTAGTTAAATCACTTATAATTTGGCAATTTTCTACTGCCAAACCAACATACCATTCACATATAATTCACTTTGTAAGTCCCAGTTTCATGTTCACACAATGTTTGTCAATTCTAACATTGAGCATGTTTTAAAAATAAAAAACTGACAGAATTTGTATCTAGTAAAACTGAAATACATCAAATAAAAAAGTACCTTTGAAACCAGGAAGACCAGGTTTTCCTGGAAGACCTGGAAGACCTCGTTCTCCATAATCTCCACGTGTACCTTTCTGTCCTGGAATTCCAATTTTGGGACCTTGTCCACGCCCAGCTGGTCCTCTATTACCAATTTCACCACGGTTTCCAGGAGGACCCTTCACACCATCTAAACCATCAATCCCAGGTAAACCATCAAGGCCAGGTTGTCCTTCATAATTTGAACCACGTGGTCCTTGTTCTCCAACTTCTCCTGGTAATCCTCGTTGTCCTACATAACCAGGTTTACCATCAAGACCGAGAAGACCTAGTAAATAAAGCAAAAAAAAAATCCATGGAAGTAGATCAAGGTGTTTCACTGATTCATAAAAGCAGACCCTTTGTATTTTAACCATTTGCTTTATTTCTATAATTTCTATGAAAACATTTACAAAAAGAAATTACCCTAAAATATTAAGGATCTGCCAAAAGAGGGGATAGAAAGTTTTCAGTCTGCCACATTTTCTAAAAAATCTGACAAAACATTAAATATCTTTTTTTATTCTTTTCTTGTTTGAGCCAAGAACATTTCAGCAACCCCTTGTATTTTAGTGAAAAAGAGTAAAAAATACAGTAATCACTCAACATCTTAACAGATACAATTTACTTATATGAACTGTGGTAAAAAAAGAAACTAGATGAAGGCTTCTGATTATATAACACAGCAACCTCACACAATATCTGAACATTAGGTCTTGTCTTAGTTCTATTAACCAATTATTATTATTTTGTGGATTTCTGATTTGTGACATGCAATCTATAATGTGAAGTGTCTATAGCTAAGGGCCAATATAAAGTTCTTGGCTACTTTGGGAAAAAATCCAACACAAATTGCAGATTGACAATTAGAATAATTACTGAAGAACTTGGATTGAATAAAGAGTTTTTAAGGACCATATTAGATATGTGAAAAGATGTGCATGAAGATGTTGCCCAATTGCTGCTCACTGAGGATAAAGAGACCAACTGTGTATATATGCTGTGTTTTCACAGTAATGACATCATTGAAAAATAAGACATAGGTTTTCCACTACAATAATATAATTATAGTGAAAAAATCTAGGTCTTCAATAGAAGATACCAGTATCAGCCAAAAAAAAAGTCAACCAAGCGTGTTCAATTCCAAAGTCAAAGCTTATTGCCTTCTTCAACCATGAGCGACTGATGCATCATCAATTCATACCAGAAAGGAAAACTGAACCAGCATTATTGTAAAGAATTATTAACCCATTTAACTGCACATATCAATATACAAGATGAGACTAATGGCTGAAAAAGAAGTGAATCCTGCAGGATCATGACAATGCCCTTGCACACATGGCCCTTAGCATCTATCTATTCATTGTTGACAGACATTCTAGAAGATTCTCTATAATCACCAAATCTAGAACTTCTAAATCTTCACAAATTGAAAAGGTACACATTTTGAGAGTGTGTGGAGGACACTAAAATGTGTGACTGACTTACTGAAGCCATCAAAAGAACAATTCTGAAGAGTGCTTTGAGGCATGGAAAAGAATTTAGGAAGTGCATTGACTACAAGTGCAGGGATTATTTTGAAAAGAAGAATGTGGTATATTTTTATTTCAACAACAGAATTTTGACAACTTTTGAAAGGATAACCATAATTTGTTCTACCTGGAGGCCCACGTTCTCCTTTGAATGAAAAACCATCTAAACCAGGTGGTCCAATTAATCCAGGGAGACCAGGGTCACCAGGCTCACCAGGAAAAACCAGGCAAACCAATATCACCAGGTGGACCTGAAAATAAATATTAAATTAGAAAATAAAAAGAACATTTTAAAGGAAAAATGCATGTTAGAATGAAGACTGTATTCAAACTAAATAGTTGCAAGTGACTGTTCATTTTGTGATAAGGAATATATTACTGGACATTACTTAATAATTTGTAGAATGCCTTTTTGCTTTGATCAAATTTGAATGTTTTTCATGAGAAAATGTTTCAAAATTCAATTTTAATCTTTTAAATAAATTTACTTAACTTTTCATAACAGAGATTTTAGTGACCTTTTGCTAAGCTAAATGTGCATTTAAAGGTCATTTTTCTAAATATAGGATTGAAATGTAACCCTGATATAAATAAAATAATGGAGATATCAAGAAAAGAATCTGAAAACAATTACCTTTTGGACCGCTTGTACCATGTCTACCATGAGGTCCAGGAGCCCCAACTTCTCCCTTTCTAATAATATTTTTGGGCCAAACCCCTAAAAAAGCACAAGAAAACAAAATTCACACATTTACATATCAGGATTTCTCATATACCATTGAGGTTTCATAGAAATTTTACTGGACAAAACAACTTAAATAAATAATATACAAATACCAAATATTTAATTGAATATACAACGTTTGTTTTTAATTTATGATCTACAAAAGAAAGTGTGTGTGTTGTGATGAGATAACCCAACTTCCCCATTCACGATAATGGACGTTCTGGTGGCCGATAAAGTACGACCACAGTAAACAGTAGAGAGCAACAAAAAGAAGGTCTTAAGTGAGAATTCACGACTTTCTTGTCTGACCGTTTATTCTGTCTTTAGGAGGATTACATTTGAACTTTTTGACTGCCCTAATTTAGCTAAGTTTTGATTTATTTCTAACATTTTTCTAACTTTACTTTTCGACTTTTTGTTCAATTTGCCATTTTTCTAACGTTCTTATTTTGACCATTTGATTTTTTCCTTTTCATTTCCTTTCCCTCTTATTTACCGTTACTTCATTTTTGTTATTAGTTATATTTCTTCCCTATTTTTTAATTAATTTTACGTTTTACTTTTTCCTTGTTAAATCTATTTTCTTCCCGTGCCCACACCCCGGAGTTTATCTGTTTATTTTTCGTTTCTCGTCCGACCTTTTTATTTAATTGTTTATTTATTACGTGTTAATTATTTCTGTGTTTTTTATCTTAAATACCCGTTAAAAAGTCTACGTTTTATCTGTTAATTACGTGTATATAACATTTGTTTTTAATTTTTGTGTTTAATTTGTAATTTCTGTCCCTCCTCCTTTTTTTTCCTTATTTAACGTTTTCGTTGTTGGGTTGACCGTTTTTTATCGGCAGCCATATTGTAAATTGTTACATTTTTAGTTTCGTACTTTATTTTGTATAGCGTTTACTCGTATTTTTCCGTTTATAACTATTAGTTTTATTGTGTAATTTGTTGCTTTCTTGTCTGTTGTCCTTTTAATTGTCCTTTTAATTTTTGTTCTTTCTTCGTTTTTGTGAACCTTGTTCACATTTTCTCTTCTGTCCATTTGTTTTTTTGCGTTTTAGTTTTACCTGTTTACATTTGTGTATATAGTTTTTTGCACACGTCCTTCTGTTTCACTTTCGTCTGTTGATCTCTGTTAAGTTAAATTGTTGTCTTGCTGATAAGCAAAACTTTATTTTTACTCTCCCCTTTTACTTTTATTTTTTTCCCTCCGCCTATAAGGCGGTTCTCCACCCGTATTTACCCCTCCCCTTCCTTCTTAAAAAATGGAAAAAAAGGAAAAAAAAAAAAACACCTTTTTTAGCAATTAAAAAAAAGCCAAATTTATCGGATTATAGAAAGGCGATACGTAAGCATCTTTTCAACCCTACCAAAAAGACCCCCCGGACAAAGACAATCTAAATGAATTTCCTGTTCTTGAGACCACTTCCCTAGCGACGTTGAAACCGCTGGGATAAAGAAAAAAGGAAAAAATACTACGGAAGCCAATAATGGCAATAACAAGGAAAAAGAAAGACCTACGGAGGCCAATAATGGCCAAAATTTCAAAAAAAAGTTAAAAGAAACCGGAAATGAACAGCAAGATAAGCCTGAGGCCGTGGAATCGCCCTCTTGTTGGTCGTCCCCACCAAAGTGCGTAATCAATTTGGCGGAGTTCTTGGAGCGTGCTAAGAGTTACGCCCCACCTTGTTGTAGAAGGTGGACTCTTGAAGACCCCCAAGAATTAAAGAAAATTGAAAAAGAATAGTGTCAGTTTTCGTCGTGGACAAGCGTACACGCAAAATTTGTCGCTCGACGAAAAACACAGTGTTGAAAGCACTAGAATCCTTCGGGTTCAAGCCCTTAGAATAGTTAAGGGAGCTAAATTTTTCATATGGGACGTACTGTTGCCCACATCGGAAGACTGCGTCGCCGCGGTGAGCCGCGGCTAATAAATAAAGAGTTGATACTGCGGACGGAGTACGAAGGCCAACGAAGGACCAGGGTAACAGTGCGAGGTCCCTCCAGAGGTTATTGGGGAACATCTCGCCGCGTTCTTCTCCCAGTATGGCGAAATTCTGGGAGCTTCCTGTGATAGCTTGAGCGGGATTGAGCTTTGACATCATGCTGGACGAGAAAGCCTTCCGCTCCATCCCCAACTGTCTGGATGTTGGTAGCTTGAAGTTACCGGTCATTGTGACGGTCGAACCGGTATGCTGGAGGTGGAGTGACTGGTCATCTCTCCTCCTCCTGCCCAGAGAAGAAGGCCTCTGGAAGTCAAGCTCCAGTTGTTCAAGATCCCCTCTGACCGCGTCTGTAGATTCCGCCTCGCCTGTAATGGGCGTACCAGCCTCGGGACCGGGTCGGTTAATCCTCCGGTTGGTGTGTCATCAAAAGCCACATTCCCCAAAGAGCCTTCGCCCGCTGCTAGTGCAGTTGTGGAGAAGGGGGGGGGAATGGCTGGTTACTAGTAAGGCCAGAGGAAGCGCCGGACAGCGGGTCCTCAGTCCCCTGAAGCCCCAAGGAAGAAAGGCACTTACAGCCCCACTCCCTCTAGCAACGTTAAGGGCGATGCCCCCGCCTCTGAACTGACACTCCAAGAAAAACAAAAGAAATTTGACCGGGATTCGAAAAAGACTGAAGAAAATTAAAGAGTTGAAGAAACAATTGGATGCTAAAAAAAAAAAAGACCCTATCCCTTCAACGTCCTCTGCCCCCCCACCCCTTCTCCGAAGAAACAGTAACCGCCCTGTGATATCGCCATCCAAATCCTCTCCCCTCAGTAGAGATCCCAGCCCCTATAGACATAGATCTTTCTATACCCCGTCTACATACCCCTCCCTCCCCGTTAAACAAAAATCCCCCCCTCCGTACCCCCAGTCAATCACCCGTCAAAACCTGATATGCCACCTCCCCCCTTCTAAGCGTCTAAGAAGCCCCACTAAAGAGCCAAAAGATCAGAAAAAAAAGACTAATTTTTAACACTGGAGGAGGTCCCATATTTCTTCAGCCCAGGCCGAGAGAGCCCTGGATTATGGAAACAGGTTAAGGACCTGAAATACTTGCTCTCCATCAAGCAGTTTGCGGACCTGGATATAGAGGTTCCCACAAAATTTCCCAAATGCTCAGAGAGTCCTTGACAGTAATAAATCAGGACCTGCTACCAAAAACAGATTTGGGCCATGGTTGGACGAGGCTATCAATCCTTATAAGATGGCTTTGCCCATCGCCATAACTGAGAATGATCATTTGAAAAATTTAAACAGTTCTGTGCAGGGAGGGTCCCGTTTTGGTTCACCCCTCCCTATATAGAGCACTTAAATTGACCTTCCCTGGGATATCGGCGGTATCTCCCAAGGCGGCACCATCAAAACTGAGATGGGTCTATGGGAGGCGGTCGGTATCCTACCCCGTCCATGTTCAAACCTGAGTTCAACCTAATCGGTGAGGGCGAGGTTTCTCTCGTGACCTTCGTTAAATGTCGGGCCTGGATGTATGCAGGGCGAGGCTCTCCAAGAGACCTTCAGCGCCTTCTCGGTGATTTGTTGTGAGAACATTCTGTCTAGGGGTTCGCCCTTTATTCAGCATGTTTTGATGGTCGTTCGAGGTGTCTCTTGGCTAGTGAGCAAGTCTTTGAAGGCTGCATGTACCCTTGTCTTCGCGGATCTGGCGGGCAGGCTTTGCGTGCTGGATGTTACCATAAAGGATAAGGTTCTACGTCTCATTGGGGTTTATGCGCCCAATATCCATTCGGAGCGGCCTGCTTTGTTTCGGGGCAGATCGCGCCGTTCTTAACGACGTCTCGTCGGGTAGTTTTAGCGGGGGATTGGAATGCCGTCCTTGACCCCTGATAGATCGTATACAAACAAGGACTAACAACCCGGATGTGAAACCATTTCCGGGACTTTATCGATGAGTTTGATCTCGTCGATAAATACCAGAATGAACATCCTCAGGAGGTAGCATGGACTTGGACTAATAGTGGCAACTCGGCTCCTGGCTCGATTGCGAGCTACCTGGACCGAGTCTTAGTTGGAGAGTCGATGTGGGGCTCTTAGGGTGTCCAAGTTTCCATTATATAGTTTATACGGATCATAGACTTGTCCGGGTCCGTGTAAACTTAGATAAACCAAGGTTAGGTTGGCTGGCCACTGGAAATTGAACTGTTCACTTTTTGGTGATCAGGGTTTCCGGGACCTGCTGCTAAATCATTCAGAGGGAATTGACGGGGCGGTTGGCCAGGAAACGCCTGGTGGGGCAAATTAAAATCTAAAATTAGAACGTTTGCTGCCGATTTTAGTCGTCAACTCAATCTAGATAGATTAGCGGCGCAAACGGCTTTAGAAAAAAAAGTTGATCAGGCCGTGAAATCCCGTGTTAGTGGGGGACATAGTCGTAGCTAAGGCAGAGTTGTCCTCCTTGCTTATCAAGAAGGATCAAGCTCTGGTAGTTAGGGCTAGGCTAAAGAATGTCTTCTGGGCGACGAACATGGCCGCTGAACTGCGTGCAGAGGAGAATAGGAACGCGTCCTGAGCGACATATAACGGGCGTTAGAAAAACACACTCCATCTTAATATGCATGTGTCTATTATTTATTTTCACACTCAAGATGTTTCTTTCCTTTTACATCTCTTGCTTATGATATATTTGGCATAATAATCCAATTTTCAAGATTTGTCAAACTTATATAAACTATTAACAAGATATTAGTTATATATTCACTGAAAGATTGTAGAAAACTGAGTTATTTATTCAATCATGTTACCTGAAATTACAAGTAATTGTTATTTACACTCTAACTCTTGCCTTCATTTTGTTCTCTCACAATGTATCCATAGTTGTGCTCTCCTGGCTTCACCAGGTTTACCTTCAGGGAATTTTTTTATCTATTATTATTGTTGTTGTTCTCATTCTGCTATGTCTAGAGATATCTCATTTTGTTCTTATTCAGTAATGCT